AATCATTTTACAATCATTATACTTTTGGTTTATTATTTCCCAAAAAAATGTCCCTTTTTTTTTATAGTTTGTTTGCATTTCAACTGAATTAAAACTAAATGAAAACTAATGAAAACTAATAAAAACTAAATGAAAACTAATGAAAACTAAATGAAACTAAAGGAAAACTAAATGAAAACTAAATAAAAACTAAATGGAAACTAAATAAAAACTAAATGGAAACTAAATAAAAACTAAATGGAAACTAAATAAAAACTAAATAGAAACTAAATGAAAACTAAATAGAAACTAAATGAAAACTAAATAGAAACTAAATGAAAACTATATAAATGAAAACTTTTCCAATATAATTCATCTAATTTATCCTCTTTTTCTTGTTTTCCAAAGATCTTGCTTTAATGTTTTTTTTTCTTCTTCTATCATTCTCCTATCATGGTCATAAAGCATGCGCATTCATTGTAAAAGAGATCAAGATGGTAAAGTTCGTAGATGTTGCTAGACAAAAGGGATGAAATAAAATCTACGCCCTCATTTTTTGATGCATATTTAGAATATTTAGAAGGTAATTATTGTTTTTCGTACCAATGTAATTTGACTTAATTGATTCTAAAGAGAGTTAAATTTTCATTTCTTAAATGTATACTGCAAGTTGTGTCGCAAGTTGTGTAGTGAAATGTGTGAACTTTGACCAATTTTGAGAGTTATTTGAATTTTTTGAAAGGTCGAGAGCTGAAAAAAAACAAGTTGGTCGGAAATGTCCATTTGTGTTATACGCATTTACTTACGCATTTACGCATAATAAAGTTTATCACAAATCACTTACCATATTAATTTTGACAAGTCACTTTTGTGTTTCGGTGAACAGCGGTCTCACAAAACAATATATATTGTGCAAGACGAATCATTAGTCGGACAAAATGCAAAGCATAGACCCCAAAATAATTTATTGCTGTCAGGAATCATCCTTTAACATTTTCTATGTATTTTATGTATTTTATGTATTAGAAATTATAAAGAAATGATAAAGAAGGATAAAGAACTTTTACGTAGTGAATATATATATATAGTGAATATATATTCATTATATATATATATATATTATAACTCGATTGATTACATAAATTATACTATCGCTATAAATACTATAAATACTGTACATATACAGATATTGGCATCATTCCATTCGTCAAAAAATAAAATGAAGAAAATGAGTCAAATAATGGACATTTTTAATATATACTTATTTGGAATGATTTGGAGTTCGATTCTTAAAGCAGGTAAAAAAGTTTGACTTCTTTGGGCAAAGCTACAAAAGAACAATCATTCGATTAAATATTTTCAGGGCACGCGAAAACAATAGCTATTCGGTTGTACTTACTCCTATTCATTAACGTTAAACGAAATGATAAACAAAAATGTTAGAAATATTACGAGAATTGAACAGGATTTCTTACCATTAAACATGATCATTATATACATTATAATAACATTATAATAACATTAATAACATTAATATCGTTATGATATCTTACCTTTGTTTATTCGCGTGTTTACAAATGCTCCGTGTATCATTATTAATAGAAGTTGTGCTAATCATATAATTGCCGTTATGCGTCAAAGATGTTGCAATTATAATAATTATAATGTGTTACTTGTGTATAAATTTTGAAATCGGGAGTTCATGTTTATCCTTAATGTAACATTTACCCCAATGTTGATTGTATTTCTATTTCAACGTATCATTTTCTTGAAATTTTTGGTTGGGGATGAAGAAGTATCATGGGATATTGTGGATATTGTAGTTTGTAGTAGCTTATTTGTAGAATTTTGTAGAATATTGTACCAATTTATCCAATTTATCACAATTTATCAAATAAAATTATTTGTGTGAAATATGTGAAATAGACACAAATAATTTTATTTCACAAATAAATAAATATATATATATATATATATATATATATATATATAATATATATATAATATATATATAATATATATATACATATATATATACTTTATAATATGATTTACTGTGCAAATTACTTTGAAATTTTTAAAGGTATTCGGGTGTATAAATAAAATAAATAAATAATATATATATGGTGGTGTTTGTATTTGTAATGTTTTTTTCTCCTGTAACTGTCTCGAAATATTTTTTTTTCCTACTTTCAATTTCAATATTTCAATATTACTTTCAATATTTACTTTCAATATTTACTTTCAATATTTACTTTCAATATTACTTTCAATATTACTTACTTTCAATATTACTTTCAAGACTACCTTTCAATACTTTTAATTGCTTTCAACCTTTTCTGAATAATTTCTATTATTTTCAGCAAGCAGATATTTTAAGACACTTTCAGATTCAATTAATACTATTACCAATTATTCATTTCTATTCATTTTCATAGATATACATACATATATCATCATTCATTTCGTACATTTCTACGATTACGATAAACATGCATTTTCATGCGATAGAAACGAAAACTTTTCCTCTGATAAAACTTCCTTTTGACCTGATTACAAATATTTTATCGTTCTTGATAAAACATCAAAATTCTAAAGTTCATGGTTCTAATCTTATATTCGTTAATCATTTATTTGCCAAAGCAGCGATACCTTTTGTTTGGTCTCATTTATATCTTAAAGAACCAACTCAACGTAATATATTCAACATATTACAAACTCCTCCTTCAAATCTCATGTTTAATTATCAAACCTTGGTGAAAAGCGTTACTATTTGTCCTGTCTCTATATCTAACATGAAATCTGGTGGTTTATTAAGAACCTTAGAATTGGTTCAAAATTTTCTTCCTAATATATCCGGTTTACACGTTGAAGATAGTTTGTCTTTTTGTCATGTTTGTCATGTTGGTAAAGAAGCCACCACTGAACAAGTGGCTGATTTAATTTCAAAAAATCATTTAGACAAACTAATGTTAGATTCTGATCATTCCGCTTTTAATGATGATTTATTAGAAATTATTACCAAAGATTCTCATTTAAAATTTTTGTCGATAAATGGTTCAAATTTTACTGATGATGGTGTATTAAACCATATCATACCAAATCTTAAAAATGATCTGGTGGAATTTTCGGTTGGTTTTGGTGGAATGAATCCTGTGTCCTTAACTGGCAATTCTGTTATAGCTCTTCTTGAACATTGTCCAAATATAAGACGAATGTCTTTGGAAGGTGTAAATCTTAACGATTCGGACTTCGCTGTTGAAGATTTACCTTTAAGTCAACTTGAACATCTTCGTTTAGGCAAAGCATGCCATCAAAACTTTACAACAAATGGTCTATTCTCTTTATTATCTACTTGTAATAAGACTTTAATTTCGCTCGTATTAGACCTGGATCATTTATCACAATCTGCACTTCAAGAGATTATTATTCCTTTATTTCAACGTCAAAAATTACAAGAAATACATTTGGTCTCTGAATCATGGGCTGAATGGATCGCTTATTATCCTAGACCTAGATCTGAACAAGAAGTTAAAGCAAAAGAAGCAATGTGGCGTTGGAAATTAAAAGCTTATTGGGGTTTATCTGCTGATTTGATAAATTTGGTGGGTAAAAAGATTTCTACCCTAAAAGTTTTTAGTATTCTGGGCGAAAATCATTTAAAATCTTTTCCCAGATTTTAAAAAAAAAAAAAAAAAAAAAATTTATATCCCTTATTATTTACATTATTATAGTATAGTATAGTTTTTAGTATTATTATTTTATCTTTTTATTTTTTATATATACATTATTATTATTATTTAGTTGGTTTCTCTTGGAACAAACGTAAAAAAAGAACATTATATTATATATATTCTATTCTATATACACTTTATATATATTCTATATATTTTCTATATATATATTTTTATATATTTTCTTTTTTTTTTTTTTTTTTACTCCCCCCCCAAAAGTTTTTTATTATAATTCTTAATATCTATGCATTCAAAAATGAACCTTTTTTTTTCTTTTGTACATATTTTTTATATACCAAAATCATGTTAGCTTTCTTTTTCATTATATATTGTTAGATAGTCATTCAAAAAAAAAAAAAAAATTCATTTCAGTATTATCAGTATTATCAGTATTACAGTATTAGGTTTAGGATTATTAGGAATAGACATTTTATTAAAGGAAATTGTTATTCGAATGTTTAAAAATTGAAAGTAGGTTTTTTTTTTTTTTATTAAAGTCTTTATTAAAGTCTTTCGTGAAATGTTCTTTAGTTTCACGGTATAAAAATCACAAGTGTTTTCAGTGAATTATTTGCTCAATGAATTAAATGAATTAAATGATCATATGTATGTCTAGTGCTCTGATGCTTTTTTAAGGAGTCTCTATCATCATACACTGCAATAGAGTTTTACAATGCTTGCACAATATTGATACAGTACGTAGCGATATAATATAGTTAAATATAGCCAGTGTACATAGCGATATAATATAGTTAACTCATGATTATCGCAGCTTTTTCATATGACTTCATCATATTAAAACTAGTAAGTATCAACATTTGACCACATTAGGTCAATGACCGGTTCTAATTTATCTTACAACCAGATTTCTTCCACTTTGCAATATTTTTCACAGCCTCATCATTACATTACGAATTATTACTACAAATTATTACAAATCTTTATTGCCACCGAGTTTGTATCACTAAAATTGTATAAATTGTATAAATTGTATAAATTGTATAAATTGTATACGTAAACAAATCATATATATAACGGTAAGTTATTTACGTACGTATTATTATTATATGGGCCATTCATAATTCAATCTGATTATCTTGCTTATAAGTATTGAAAATCATGATAATGCAATTTTCTATTATCATAAGATCGTGATTACCAAATGATTACGACCTGTTTTTCTTAAATGTAATAATGTATTATGCAACGTTTTTATATACATAATAATAAATTTATTGAAAAACTGCGAGTTTATCTCTTTTTGGATGAAACAAGTATGGGGAGAATACGTTAGTATCCTTTACTTTTTTTAGGAAATAAAAAAAAATCGGAGTAAAGTTAGGTGATAAGTGATTATTTAAGGTTATGTTATGTTATTGATGCTGTGCCACTATTACTAATTACTATTACTTGTTACTTGTTACTAATTTACTATTCTGCTACGTACTCTGCTACTCCACTGCGTACGTACGTACGTACGTTATATACATATCTATACTGTGAAATACCCCATTATTCATCTTATTCTTCTTTATTCATCTATTTATTCATTCATCTATTTATTCATTCATCTATTTATTCATCTATTTATTCATCTATTTATTTATTTTTTCTTTCATGTTTAATGTTTAATCCATAATTTCTATTTATCTATTCACATTGCTACTGGTTTTTATATAAATTCCCATTAGTACACCATTATCGTTATTATTCCATTATTACAAATTACTTGATCTCGTGAATCCTGGTTCCTGTTCGTTACTCTCTTACATAATAAACTTTATTATAATATTACCCCAGAATTTACTGCGGTGATCTTTTAAATTTTTTTTTTTGTAATTGCATTAAAAAATTCAATAATGATGATGATACGTAATAAATAAATATATTCGGTTTTTTTTTTTAACTCGGTATTTTTTTTAAAGTATAAAATAGATTATTAAATTAGCCGCCGGAATCTAGAACGTCGGAACTGCGAATCAATTATATATTATTTTAGTTAATCTATTACGTATCTTAAAAAATTCCCATTTTATATTACAATGCTATGCTATGCGTGATGCCGTCAAATGGAATGATGGGTTGTCAATTTTGTGTTTCTCATATTAGAAAAAAAGGAATTCCATTCATTTATCAAAGCATCTGATTCAAAATATAAATATGCATACATTACATATATGCTAAGTCTTTTTGGTAAATTTTGTGTCTGGTATCATTACATTCCGACACATTTCAAACCGCATTTTTTCACCCCATTTTATTAAAAAAAAAATATATTCTGTATATTGCAAATCTTTTACCAGAAATTTCTCCCAAATTTTTTTTCTTTATTCAATCATAAAAAGGTTCGTAATTGAATGTGAATCTATTAATTAATAATTGGATAACTTTATTATGCATTCAAGATATTAAATGATTAACATGTCAAAAGAAAACAAATATTAGAAAATCTTGAACCTCCAATATTATTTACGTATTAGTGTAACTACTTATATCATAATGAAAGACCATCTAGACAAACAATCTTCTTTTTAATTCGAACTAATCGGATTCCTTGTACAACTCACCTGTTAAATGTATTCGCTTTTTTTGAATGGCTTTATGGCTTTTGTCGAATTATATCAACTCTCCTGATTTTTTAAATTATTTTTTCGTTTAATAAATTTACATTTCTTTAAATTTTAACAATTATTTTCTCGTTTAATAAGTTTACATTTCTTTAAAATTTAACAATTTTTTTTTAATAATAAATTTTAATAAATTTTTTTAATTATAAATTTTAATAAATTTTAATAATAAATTTTAATCCGTATTTTTTTTATGTATTATTTAAACTTATTTGGTGCTATATATTATACACTTAGAATCGCTTATTCTTTTAAATTATATACACTTAGAATCGCTTATTCTTCTAAATTATATATACTAACATTTGATTGATGTA